ATGTAGTCACTAGTCAATTTCATTAGTCGTCTATATCAGAGTCTAGGACACATGGCTAATCACCAACACCTTGCCACGTGGAGGCATGCAGTTGCTTCGTTACGAGTTCTCAAAGACAGATTGTTTCACGTCAAGCCGAATTGAAGACAATGTACAGTTTCACTATGTCATTCCATGGACGTTTGTAAGAACTGCATCCTCTCTCTCAGCAAGATTTACAAGAACTCACTGCCGTCCAGCAATCACGTCGCAATTGTTCAAGCCGAAGATTAGGCCACGTGTTGTTTGCGTCGAAAAGATTGACTTTTGAAACTAGGTATTTTAGTGTCCATATCGTTTTATGACTCCAGGCGACTGTAAATGTATTTTCCTTGCGTTGTCTAATTTTGTGTGTCTTACCACACTGTTATTGTATTATGCTGAATTTGTGAATTTATTGCTCATTTGAATTAATGTCTTTTGATGCCTCGTGAGCGCACTATATTTATTTACACGAATACAATAATAGAATTTGACAATATCCTGTGTTCGTGTCGTTTCTTGTTGCGAACCCCTTGTTTGGGTTTGGGTCAACGGGAAGATTCCAGTCTGTCCGTCATCCGACTTTAGACCCAAATACGGCCGTAACATTGACCAAAATGAATGAAAATTTATTTTACTCTGAAAGTCCCTCAATATATATTACATAAAACTTGTTATCAAGGTTATCAAGATCCTCAAAAGATTTATATTGTGTAACAGCATAGTACAAGGCAGTTCAAGGTGTATATTTTCACCAACATCATGGAAAATAGAAACATAAAATGTATCAAAACCAAATGTAGTCGAGATCATACATTGGTTGATGATATACAAGATTGAAAATTTAGCTATAGAAAATAATTTACCACAGATATAAAGGGCACCCACCCTGTCCCCAATACCTTCCTTCTATGATAAGAACAGATACAAGTAGCTACATGTACCACTAGGATTATGTATTGGTTTATACTGTATGTGAGTAGTACTTAATAAGGCAAAAAGAAATTCAGCAATGTAATCTTCAAAAAAATGGCAACTCACATTTACCACAATAAAAAAGGTGTGGTATGCAACTTTCAAATTGGTACATGTGATGACCAGGAATGAATCTATCTGTTGCACCAAAATCAGATCAGGAATATTCATAATTACAAAAATATATACTAATATATTAAACCCAACTCTTTTCATTTGTAATTGTTTAGTTTCATTCAAATTTACATGACTGGATTGGCAGGTGCATGCCTCTCTCCATTACATTATGGTAGAGATGCAGTTTATTTGGCTTGCTTTTTAATTGAGTAATTAGACAATGAAGATGGTATTATATATCCAACATGTTATATATTTTCTGAAAGCTTATTATATAAACTTGTCTTTATTTTAAATATCCAGAATGTGTTTTTGATTTTGGGTCAAAAATATGCTTCTGTTTCCTGTCAAAATTGGTTTACGGGTACATCTGTTTACTTTGAAGAAAGTGCCGTCTTGAAAACTGTCTACCAGTTGACAATTTTGCAGGGCAGCAGCTTAAATTTCACTTCTTCGAGTTTATGCAGAAAATAACATCCAGGCTAGTTGTCTGTACGATTGTTGTAACACTGTTCAACCAAAAACAATGCCCCAACGGCGTTTTGAAGATAAACACATTGTCAATCATTTGTGAACATTTCAAAACATCGAGGAGCTATTTTTTTTAAAGTTCTGGGATGTGCACTAAAAAGAAGCTGAGATAATTGCTAATTTGCATAACAATTCACTCAGTAAGAAGTTTGCTGATGCTCATAATTAAAATGACTGTAACAGTTCCAAATTTAAATGTATTGTCATTTTGTAGAAAGTTAAATATAGTGCATAATACGGAGATCCTGTCATTTCTTTTTTTCACCATATTTTTTTTTTATTATTTATGTACAGCCTTGCTAAATCTTGCTAAGCATTCAAAAGAAAGAATGTTTGCACCTGTTATCTATATTTTAAAATCGTCTTTTGAGTATGTTCCACTATTCTACAAAATTTTAACAGTCTATAGCCAAGACTGTTTGGACAATAAAAGTAAAAAAAAAAAATTTCACCTCCAAGTGCCCACGAACCTGCATCTCTTCCTTAATTGCAACTGTAACCAATACTTACGGACTAAGCGCCTGCATGACTGGTCTTTGCAAATCATACTCATCTTCCACTTGTGGGTTTTTAAAGTGTCTAGGAATTTGTGGTGGAGGTCTTGGCTTTTCAATTGGGGGACGAGGAGGAAGTCTGTCAACATAAGCCTCATCAAGTTCCTCAAGTCTTGATTGGTGTACATCTCTTGCTCTGCTAACGTCTATCGTTGGTGGCAACGGTGGGATTGGTTTGGTTTTGTATTCATCACTGAAATTGTCGTGTCGCATTCGATTAACTTTCTTGATACATGTAGGTTCTTCCTAAATTCAAGAGTGAGAAAACAGTAAATAACACCGACTGATTTTGCTTCTGAATGTTATAAATTGTATATCCGCACTCCAGAACAGCTTCTGCGTGAAGCCTTCATGTCAATGGCTAATGTGTAAGTCCTTTTCATCTCATCACTTCATCACAGGTCGCACATAGAGCATGCCAGAGACCCGAGACTTGCCTCTCCCTCTAGGTATGCTGTATGTCCCCTGCCT